CCAACCAAAAGACAAAGACTGGCTGAATGAATACAAAAGCAAGACCCCTATATATGCTGTCTACAAGAGACCCACCTCAAAACAAAGGACACCTACAGACTGAAAGTGAAAGGCTGGAAAAAATATTTCATGCAAATGGAGACCAAAAGAAAGCGGAAGTCACAATACTCGTATCAGATAAAATAACTTTAAGATAAAGGCTGTGAAAAGAGACAAAGCCACAGCAAGCATTACCCTCAATGGTGAAAAATTGAAAGCATTTCCCCTAAAATCAGGAACAAGACAAGGGTGCCCACTCTCACCACTACTATTCAACATAGTTTTGGACGTGTTGGCCACAGCAATCAGAGCAGAAAAAGAAGTAAAAGGAATCCAAGTAGGAAAAGAAGAAGTGAAACTCTGTTTGCAGATGACATGATCCTCTACATAGAAAACCCTAAAGACTCCACCAGAAAATTACTAGAGCTAATCAACGAATAGAGTAAAGTTGCAGGATATAAAATTAACACACATAAATCCCTAGCATTCCTATACACTAACAATGAGAAAACAGAAAGAGAAATTAAGGAAACAATACCATTCACCATTGCAACAAAAAGAATAAAATACTTAGGAGTATATCTTGCTAAAGAAACAAAAGACCTATACATAGAAAACTATAAAACACTGATGAAAGAAATCAAAGAGGACACAAACAGATGGAGAAATATACCGTATTCATGGATTGGAAGAATCAATATTGTCAAAATGGCTATACTACCCAAAGCCATCTATAAATTCAATGCAATCCCTATCAAGGTACCAATGGTATTTTTCAAAGAACTAGAACAAATAATTTCACAATTTGTATGCAAATACAAAAAACCTCGAATACCCAAAGTAATCTTGAGAAAGAAGAATGGAACTGGAGGAATCAACCTGCCTGACTTTAGGCTCTACTACAAAACCACAGTTATCAAGACAGTATGGTACTGGCACAAAGACAGAAATATAGATCAATGGAACAGAATAGAAAGCCCAGAGATAAATCCACGAACCTATGGCCACCTTATCTTCGACAAAGGAGGCAAGGATATACAATGGAAAAAAGACAACCTCTTTAACAAGTGGTGCTGGGAAAACTGGTCAACCACCTGTAAAAGAATGAAACTAGAACACTTTCTAACACCATACACAAAAATAAACTCAGAATGGATTAAAGATCTAAATGTAAGACCAGAAACTATAAAACTCCTAGAGGAGAACATAGGCAAAACACTCTCCGACATAACTCACAGCAGGATCCTCTATGACCCACATCCCAGAATATTGGAAATAAAAGCAAAAATAAACAAATGGGACCTAATTAAACTTAAAAGCTTTTGCACAACGAAGGAAACTATAAGCAAGGTGAAAAGACAGCCCTCAGATTGGGAGAAAGTAATAGCAAACGAAGCAACAGACAAAGGATTAATCTCAAAAATATACAAGCAACTCCTGCAGCTCAATTCCAGAAAAATAAATGACCCAATCAAAAAATGTTCCAAAGAACTAAACAGACATTTCTCCTAAGAAGACATACAGATGGCTAACAAACACATGAAAAGATGCTCAACATCACTCATTATCAGAGAAATGCAAATCAAAACCACAATGAGGTACCATTACACACCAGTCAGGATGGCTGCTATCCAAAAGTCTACAAGCAATAAATGCTGGAGAGGGTGTGGAGAAAAGAGAACCCTCTTACACTGTTGGTGGGAATGCAAACTAGTACAGCCGCTATGGAAAACAGTGTGGAGATTTCTTTAAAAAACTGGAAATAGAACTGCCATATGACCCAGCAATCCCACTTCTGGGCATACACACCGAGGAAACCAGATCTGAAAGAGACACATGCACCCCAATGTTCATCGCAACACTGTTTATAATAGCCAGGACATGGAAGCAAGCTAGATGCCCATCAGCAGATGAATGGATAAGGAAGCTGTGGTACATATACACCATGGAATATTACTCAGCCATTAAAAAGAGTTCATTTGAATCAGTTCTAATGAGATGGATGAAACTGGAGCCCATTATACAGAGTGAAGTAAGCCAGAAAGATAAAGACCATTACAGTATACTAACACATATATATGGAATTTAGAAAGATGGTAATGATAATCCTATACGCAAAACAGAAAAAGAGACACAGATGTACAGAACAGACTTTTGGGCTCTATGGGAGAAGGCGAGGTTGGGATGTTTCAAGAGAACAACATGGAAACATGTATATTATCTAGAGCGAAACAGATCACCAGCCCAGGTAGGATGCATGAGACAAGTGCTCGGACCTGGTGCACTGGAAAGACCCAGAGGGATCGGGTAGAGAGGGAGGTGGGAGGGGGGATCGGGATGGGGAATACATGTAAATCCATGCCTAATTCATGTCAATGTATGACAAAAACCACTACAATATTGTAAAGTAATTAGCCTCCAACTAATAAGAATAAATGAAAAAAAAAAGATAAAGGCTGTGAAAGGAGACAAAGAAGGACACTACATTAATGATCAAAGGAACAATCAAAGAAGAAGATATGACAATTATAAATAGATTGGTCAAAACTTCCCTTCCAAGGAGTAAGCGTCTTTTAATTTCATGGCTGCAATCACCATCTGCAGGGATTTTGAAGCCCCCAAAAATACAGTCTGACACTGGTTCCACTGTTTCCCCGTCTATTGGCCATGAAGTGATGGGACCAGATACCATGATCTTAGTTTTCTGAATGTTGAGCTTTAAGCCAACATTTTCACTCTCCTCTTTCACTTTCATCAAGAGCCTCTTTAGTTCCTCTTCACTTTCTCCCATAAGGGTGGTGTCATCTGCATATCTGAGGTTATTGATATTTCTCCTGGCAATCTTGATTCCTGCTTGTGCTTCTTCCAGCCCAGCGTTTGTCATGATGTACTCTGCATAGAAGTTAAATAAGCAGGGTGGCAATATACACCCTTGACATACTCCTTTTCCTATTTGCAGCCAGTTTGTTGGTCCATGTCCAGTTCTAACTGTTGCTTCCTGACCTGCATAGAGGTTTCTCAAGAGGTCTGGTATTCCTATCTCTTTCAGAATTTTCCACAGTTTATTGTGATACACATAGTCGAAGGCTTTGGCATAGTCAATAAAGCAGAAATAGATGTTTTCTGGAACTCTCTTGCTTTTTTGATGATCCAGGGGATGGTGTCAATTTGATCTCTGGTTCCTCTGCCTTTTCTAAAACCAACTTGAACATCTGGAAGTTCACGGTTCACCTATTGCTGAAACCTGGCTTGGAGAATTTTGAGCATTACGTTAGTAGCGTGTGAGATGAGTGCAATTTTGTGGTAGTTTGAGCATTCTTTGGCATTGGCTTTCTTTGGGACTAAAATGAAAACTGACCTTTTCCAGTTCTGTGGCCATTGCTGAGTTTTCCAAATTTGCTGGCATATCTTTCACAGCATCATCTTTCAGGATTTGAAATAGCTCAACTGGAATTCCATCACCTCCACTAGCTTTGTTCATAGTGATGCTTTCTAAGGCCCACTTGATTTCACATTCCAGGATGTCTGGCTCTAGGTGAGTGGTCACACCATCGTGATTATCTGGGTCATGAAGATCTTTTTTGTACAGCTCTTCTGTGTATCCTTGCCACCTCTTCTTAATATCTTCTGCTTCTGTTAAGTGCCTAAAATTTCTGTCCTTTATTGTGCCCATCTTTGCATGAAATATTTCCTTGGTATCTCTAATTTTCTTGAAGAGATCTCTAGTCTTTCCCATTCTGCTGTTTTCCTCTATTTCTTTGCAATGGTCACTGAGGAAGGCTTTCTTATCTCTCCTTGCTATTCTTTGGAACTCTGCATTCAAATGGGAATATCTTTCCTTTTCTCATTTACTTTTTGCTTTTCTTCTTTTCACAGCTGTTTGTAAGTCCTCCTTAGACAACCATTTTTCCCTTTTTCATTTCTGTTCCATGAGGATGGTCTTGATCTTTGTCTCCTGCACAATGTCACGAACCTCCATCCATACTTCATTAGGCACTCTGTCTATCAGATCTAGTACCTTAAATCTACTTCTCACTTCCATTGTATAGTCATAAGGGATTTGATTTAGGTCATACCTGAATGGTCTAATGGTTTTCCCTACTTTCTAAATTTAAGTCTGTATCTGGCAATATGGAGGTCATGAGAGCCATTGTCAGCTCCTGGTCTTGTTTTTGTTGACTGTGTAGAGCTTCTCCATCTTTGGCTGCAAAGAATATAATCAATCTGATTTCGGTGTTGACCATCTGGTGATGTCCATGTGTAGAGTCTCCTCTTGTGTTGTTGGAAGAGGGTGTTTGCTATGACCAGTGCATTCCCTTGGCAAAACTCTATTAGCCTTTGCCCTGCTTCATTCTGTACTCCAAGGCCAAATTTGCCTGTTACTCCAGGTGTTTCTTGACTTCCTACTTTTGCATTCCAGTCCCCTCTAGTGAAAAGGACATCTTTATGGGGTGTTACTTCTGAAAGGTCTTGTAGGTCTGCATAGAACCATTCAACTTCAGGTTCTTCAGTGTTACTGCTTGGGGCACAGCCTAGGATTACCGTGATATTGAATGGTTTGCCTTGGAAATGAACAGAGAGCATTCTGTCATTTTTGAGATTGCATCCAAGTACTGCATTTTGGACTCGTTTGTTGACCATGATGGCTATTCCATTTCTTCTATGGGATTCCTGCCCACAGTAGTAGATATAATGGTCATCTGAGTTAAATTCACCCATTCCAGGCCATTTTAGTTCGCTGATTCCTAGAAAGTCGACATTCACTCTTGCCATCTTCTGTTTGACCACATCCAAGTTGCCTTGATTCATGGACCTAACATTTCAGTTTCCTATGCAATATTGCTCTTTACAGCATCGGACCTTGCTTCTATCACCAGTCACATCCACAACTGTGTATTGTTTTTGCTTTGGCTCCATTTCTGCATCCTTTCTGGACTTATTTCTCCACTGATCTCCAGTAGCATATTGGGCACCTACCGACCTAGGGAGTTCCCCTTTCAGTATCCTCTCATTTGCCTTCTCATACTGTTCATGGGGTTCTCAAGGCAAGAATACTGAAGTGGTTTGCCATTCCCTTCTCCAGTGTACCACATTCTGTCAGACTTCTCCACCATGACCCATCCGTCTTAGGTGGTCCCACAGGGCATAGCTTAGTTTCATTTAGACCAGACTGTGGTCCATGTGATCAGATTGGCTAGTTTTCGCTGATTATGGTTTCAGTGTGTCTGCCTTCTGATTCCCTGTCCCAACACCCACTGTCTTACTTGGGTTTCTCTTAACTTGGACGTGGGGTATCTCTTCATGGCTGCTCCAGGAAAGCGCAGCCGCTGCTCCTTACCTTGGATGAGGGGTATCTCCTCACGGCCGCCCCTCCTGACCTTGAACAAAGAATAGCTCCTCTCGGCCCTGCTGCGCCAGCACAGCCGTCGCTCCTTGGACGTGGGGTTGCTCCTCTCGGCCGACGCCCCTGACTTCAGCCATGAGATTGCTCCTCTCAGCCCCTGCCCCTGCCCTGGGGCGTGTGGTAGCTCCTCCTGGTCACCACCCCTGACCTCGGATGTGGGGTAGCTCCTCTCGGCCGCACCTGTGCCGTCACAGCCTGGCGCTCTCGGTCGCTGCCCCTGACCTTGGGCTTCAATCAATTTTACAAAAGAGTAAAACTCTTGTTTGTGAACTGGGTAACCATAAACATACAGGGATTAACATCATTCACAAAGATAAGACACTGAAGTTAATGTAGCCTTCTATGAAAACAAAGTTTGAAAATTTTCTAAAGAAATCAGAGATGAATCTCCATACCATGGTAAAGAACAGGAACCCAAAGATGCTACACACTGGTTCCCCCAACTGGCCTTGGCCCTCACTTCTGAGATGGCTAACCGCTCCCTGTTCAATCACAGAAGGAAGGACCAGCCTGGCTGTTGCTATGGCTCAGGCTGCCTCATCCTCCTCCCTGGCAGCCTCTGCAGAAAGGGGTGGGAAGGCCCTCAAAGCCCTTTGTTTCACCCTGAGCAGAAATGCCATAAATTGCCACTTGCTGGTCTCTGCATACACCTGGGGACCCCACAGGAACTCATAGCATGCAAGGTGGCTGTCAGGCAACTGCTGGTACTCCAGGTTCCCCTCCCGCAGCCACATGTGGGGCAGCAGCTCCCTGGACTCCCCAAAGACGCAGTGCTCACCCTCAGCACACAACCACATCCTGCTGAGTGTTCCCCAGACCTCCTCCTCAGGGGCATGGTCTCTATTCCATATGGTGAGGCTGAGGACCAGCACCAGGAAGCTGCCTTTGGGCAGACCCTGCCTACCGCTCTGCATCGTATTGCAGGTGAGGCCCAGGGTGGTGACCAGGATGCTGATGTGCTGCCTGGCATCTACCTCCTTCACCTCCATGCCAAAGTCCAGCTGCATTCACTGCAAGGTTTGCCTGAAGACCACTGGGAAGTGCTCCTGGTTATCCCTGAAGACCTTCAGCATTTCTGCCTGGGAGGTCAGCTCCTTGGCTCGATAACTGAGGAGCAGGAACTTCATCAGGTTAGCCATCATCTCATTCAGAATTTCTTGGGGCAAGGCCTCCAAAGGAGCAGAGGAGGATGCTGGGAGGTAGGAGGCCAAGTGGGATGTGGCCTCGTCCTCCTCAGCCTCCAAGAGCTGTGCCTCCATTGGGCCCTGGGCCTCAACTGGGTCCTGAAGGTCTTCTTTGGGCTTACTCAACTCACTCATCTCGACCACAAGCATGATGCCTGGGATCAAACAAGACACGGAAGTGAGGCAGAGGTACAGATGGGGACCACAGGCCTTGGGGCAGAGGGCATGTGAGCAGCCTCGGATGAGAAATGCATCCCAGGTGGTCTGACACAGGCCACTTATAGGTCACCTCTTGAGGGGTGCTCTCAGGCCTCACAGGGGTGCTCCTCCTAGGAAGACAGTCCCCTGGCTACCTGAAGGAGGAAGTGTGATGGCTCCCCAGGGTGTGGTCAGCACAGCCTGAGATTTCCGGGGCCCACAATGTGGGGGGCGGGGATTAGGGCCTTCGTGTGCCCCCCCTCTGTTCTGGGATGGGGAGCCTCCAGTACACACTCAGGGCACCCTCTCACCTTGACTCCAGATACTGCCTGGGCCTCCTCTGCTCTCTCATCTCCAGGACACAGGCTTTAGACCTCTGTCTTCACTTCCTGCTTCCTGAAGCTCCTGTGTGAGAAATGGAGGGAACATCTAGGGGCTATACAGTGGCACAGCCCTGGGCCTTCTGTGATGGTAAGAGGGGTGGGCTCAGTGAGCACATCCAGTTGTGTGGTGGGAGGTCCCCTCGGGGTGCCCTTGTAGTGCTCACCTTTCCCCCCTGGCACGGCTTGGACCCTCCCCTTTGGAGGCATACAGGGAAACTCAGAACAAGACCCGAGACTGAATAGAAAGCACTGAGGGGCCCCACATGTAGCCACACCTGCCCAGGGCCTCCCGCGGGTCCTCGGCTGGGGACATGCTCTGTCCTCAGCTCCTCCTCACACCCTGCCTGGCCTCCCAGCACTGACCACAGGGGCGTGGGTCTGCTCAGTCCTCCACCTGGGTCGGGGAGTCCAGCCTCTGCCGACCTGAAGCCTCTGGCCTCTACCCGAGAAAGCTTACCTCCCGAGGTCTCTATGCCAGAGGTCAAGAAACTGCTCACCCTGTGCACCCCACTCTGGGCCCTCCAAGACCTTCCTGAAAGGGCTAAGATCCCTTCCTGTTGGGGTCTAACCTCCTCAGTACTTCCCGTCATGGAGACTGGACCCCAGGCAGCACCGGGGATTGTCCTGTCCACCATTTTGAGACCCTGCCGTTTTCATGAGATCCCCAGTCTCTCTGAGACCGTCACGTGAGGAAGACAGACAGGCCTAGTGTGCTCTTCTCACCCCAAGGGCTCCCAGGGCCGACTACAGGGGTGGAGATCTGTGGGGTTCCATTGGTCCTCACTCAGGGTCTCCTCAGTCCTCACTCAGGGTCCCCTCAGTCCTCCTTCAGGCACCTCACCTTGCCTCCAGGCAGGACCTGGGATTCTCGCCTCTCTGCAACTGAAGCCCTGCCCCTTATACCTGGGACACAGCCTCTCCAAGACCTGGATGTCAGGAAGTCAGACCATGCACGTTTGGCTCATCCTATCCCAGGGCCGCCAAGGACCAACTGCAGCTACAGCCTTCTCTGAGTTCTCCTCTGATTGGGTTCCAGGGTCCCCTTAGTCCTCCCTCAGGGTCCTCATCTTGAAACTCTGGAGGAGCTGGGCTTCTTCCCTCTGCTCACCTGAGGACGCGTCCCCTTTCCCAGATCCCCAGTTTCTCTGAGACTTGGATGTCAGGAAATGCAGCATGAGCTCATCCACCTTCTGTGCTCCCTGAGCCTTGATGTGAGGGTCCCACCTCGGGTCAACACAAGGGGCATCCCCGGATCTGCCTGGGCTCTAGATGAGGTCCTGTAGGGGGGAATATAAGGAACCTCACAGATGCCTAACCCTGCTATTAGGCCTGGACGATCCTGGTGGTGGGATGAGCACTTGGCAGCCTGTTCTGACTTCTGCCTCTGCACCTCAGAGACATGAGGCAACTGTTAGAAGAAGTAGTGCCTCAGATGGGCAGAGGGGAAGATCTTAGTTCTTTGGAGGGTCAAGGTGAGGACGCTGAGGGAGGACTGAGGGGACCCTGGACCCCAGAGCAGAGTGGGCTCTGGGAAGACATAGGGTGGAAGGAACACATGCTGCATTTCCTGACATCTGGGTCTCAGAGAGACTGGGGAACCTGGTATAGGTGGCTGACTTCCTGACATACAGGCCTCAAAATGGGGACCTGGTACAGGGGTCTGACTTCCTAATATCTGGATTTCAGACTGGTGTCCTAGTATAGGGAGTGGACTTCCTGACATCCATGTCTCAGAGAGACTGGAGTCCCGATATAAGGGATGGGGCATTAGTAGGGGAGAGGAGTGAATCCGAAGTCCTACACAGAGACAAGTTGAGGTCCCTGAGGGAAGATTGAAAGGACCCCTGAGTGAAGTTTCTAGGGACCCCAAGTCTTACCAGACTGATGGAACCCTACAGGTCCCAGGCCCTGTTATCGGCCCTGGGAGCCCTTTGGGTGAGAAGAGCATACTAAATATGTCCTGACTTCCTGACATCGGGGTCTGTGAGACTGGGGACATGGTGTGAGGAGCAGGGACTATGATGGGGAGAGGACAGAGCCTAGGTCCTACCAGAAGTCAAGGTGAACACCCTGAGGGAGGACTGAGGGTAGCTAGATCTGAGACCAGAGGGAACCCTGATAGTCCCCAGGCAGGAAGACCTCGTGCTGCATTGCCTGACATCCCTGTCGGAAAGACAGGTGAAAACAGCCGAGCCTCCAAATTGCAGACAGGACATTGCAGGTCTTGCCTGGAGTACAGGCTCCATACGAGGAATGACCGAGGCAGGCTGCCCACAGATACCAGTCTTCGGCCCCCTTCGGAGGAGCCGCCAGGAGCCTCCACGGATAATCACAGCCTCCAGGGTCATGTTCCAGTCAGATGAACCAACCTGAAGAAATGCTTTGTCAACCTGTTTAGGAGGGCAAAGGCAACGGAGCAAGCCCAAGTCGAGGCTGCAAGCTCCATTCTGGCCACCAGTCCTCAGGCTGAAATGCCCTGGGAGAGCCTCTTCCATACCCTCTTAGCTCTCCCCTTTCAGACACCAGGCTGTGGCCCTCACACAGGGCAAATGACCCTGCTGCAGGGCAGAACTAATGGGAAACTATCTCTAGGGGCACAGTGCCCTAGAGTCCTCACACGTGGGCCTTTCCAAGGTGCTGTTCTGTCCCCTACATGGTGATTTTGAAGAAAAGTGGCCCACAAAGGTTTGAGAACATGCATCTCCAAACCCACTGCACTATCGTTCATGTGTAGTGAAGACAGGCGACTCTCACTTGGGTTTCATCCAGTCCCACACCCAGACTCTCATCCATTTTCAAATACAGGTAGACAGGGGCTTCCTTTGGTCACATCTAGCTCAACAACTCAGAACTGACCCTGGGAGTGAGTGTGTGTAAAGGAGGCCCCTTGAAAAGCACCTAACCTGTGAGGCAAC